CCAAGAGGAAAGTGAATTAAAGACTCAAGAGATACAGAAATCCCCAACAGAACCCTCAATGGTATCCAAGAAACCTTCCCGTAAAACAAGAGAGAATAGGAAAAAGTCATCCTGGTGGGAGGCAGGAAGCTCCTATAAAGCGAGAAGTTATGGCCGCTTCTGCACTTAAGAATTGCTATAATTGCTTGAAGCCAGGGCATATAGCAAGAAATTGTAATGATGCGTCGCAATGTCCAAAGTGTGGCAAAAGAGGACATCTGATGGCAAACTGTTATCAGGGAAACCGGCCACGAGGTGGATCCGGCAGTCGAGGTTCACCTGCAGTGAAAGAGGCTGCATAGGAAGGGTGAATGCTCGAGATCCATCAGATGAGAGTGGAGACACCCCCACTCAAAGGTTGATAAAGACCTGGGTTCTTCGGAGGACACTGGGTTTGTCGCAGAGAGTAAGCGGAGGAAAAATTGTGTCGATAGTAACTCTGCGATGGGAGGTACTTCCCATTTATGTAAAATGGTGTACGCTCTGACATGCCAATCTTCGGAAGGAACGCCCAGAGATGTCATAACCCGTTTGAGCTCTATATAACTTGCCCCAAGTTCACAGTAGAGGCGGGAACTGGCTTAATAGATACAGGCGCGCAGATTTCCTTAGTAAGAAGGAAAAGTTTAAAGAGACTTGCAAAAGAAAATATTGTCGAGACCTTCGTGACAATGCAAGGAATAACAGGAAGCTGTAGAAGTTTAACACAAGGCATTTACTTGGAAATTAATGAAAGTAAACCATTTTTATTTTATATCGTGGATGAGCTACCAAGTAATGTTGATGTCATTTTAGGATATAAATGGTTAATTGAAAATGGTTATGTGATGACTCGTAATCCTGCTTTACTTCCTTTAAGCGAGGGTATTGTGAAAATTCCAACCAGAGAAAAAGGTGTCCGATTAATAGAGAAACAAAAATAGTTACCTGGAGTTTATTGTGGCATTTCCTTAGGCGAATGCAATGGTGAATTTGTTTCCTGTTTAATAGTAAACTTAACAGCCGAACCCATTATGACCTTAACCCTACCGAAATAATTAAACCCCCATGTAAGTTTGAAAGGCTAAGAAAGGAACATCTTTTTTCACAACAACGTTTGGACGAGTTGAACAAAAAATAAGGTTGTCGCATATAAAGGAAGGCGAAGAAAGTATTAGAGAACTTTGTGAGGAATATGTTGACATTTTTAAATTACACGGCGATAAGCTAACAGCATCCACCGCTGCTATGCATCATATCCCTTCTCCTCACTTCTGAAAAGGCCGAGCCATCACGTTAAAAAACTATAGATTAGCAGAAAGGGGAAGTAAATAAACAAGTTAAAGAAATGTTAGAAGACGGTATTGTAGTTCCGAGTAAGAGTGAATGCAATTTTCCTCTTATCGTAGTACCCAAAAACCTAGATGCGTCTGGTAAAAAGAAATGGCGCATTTGTGTTGATTTCCGTAAGTTGAATAATATCACTATACGAGATAGTTTTCCGCTTCCTAACATTCAAGAGATTCTCGATAACATAGGAAAATCAAAATATTTTTCTGCATTAGACTGTGCATCAGGTTTTCATCAGATCTTAATCACACCTGAAGACAGGCTCAAAATTGCTTTTAACGAATCGACCGGACATTTCGAATATGTTCGGATGCCATTCGGATTAAAAGCAGCACCGGCTACGTTCCAGAGAATCATGAATTCTCTTCTGAGGGAATCTATAGGAGAAAGATGTTTAGTGTATATAGATGACGTTTTGGTCACGAGTAGGACACTAGGGGAACATCATAGGAAACCATCTTTTAAGATGATTTCAGTGAAAAATCACAATTATACCTCATATAATTTAAACCAAAATTTACAGATTCAATTAAAAAATACTGCTGCAAGAGGACCCACAACAGCGATATTTGAATTCCCGTGCTGAAGGGTTTTCAAAGCCTCTTGCAGATATTTATAATATTCATTTTTTAGCTGGCAGTTTCCGTGTTGCTTGTATCTGCATCTGTGAACAGAAACAAATACCTGTTAATATTCAAGAGTTGTTGTAAGATTTACAACTCAATTGTAATTATCATAACATCTCCCTGTTACCATGAAGAATTCGCATGTTGATTGGAATGTACATCAGAGAATGTAATAATTTTCTGACGGAATATCCCGGCATTTGTTCAGAGAAAGTGAATAACCTGAGTGAAGTCTTTGTGTTTTTATCAGTCTGTTTCTAGGATGGTGTCGAATTCGTGATTCAACTACAGTATAGAGGTTCTCAAGGGTATATTCGACAAAGCAGCCTTTCCACACCTTCATGAGACTATAGTGATTCTCTGGAGAACCAATTCCTGTTCCCGTGTCTCCCTCCCCTTTGTGGTCGTGAGATCCGCAGAGGGTGACGATACGTTTTCTTGTTGCTCTATCCACCACATCTGGTCAAGGTGTGAAGTGTAGACATTGCTTTGCAGGTGCGCGTACCATCAGTAATTATCCTACCACAGCCGTATTTATTTGTAGAGTGTGTAAATTAGCGAGACTATTATAATCATTTGTAGTAATGAGTCATAAACTGTTCAGTAATTCCAGTAATCAATCCAAACCCAGTGTCTATTCACTAACATGTGATAATATGTTACTTACCAGCGAAGAGGCCAAAAACACACTCAATATATTTGATTGCGTCCAGCATCGGCATTCTTCCTGAAACAATATATGGAAAAATTAGATTTTTCTTTTATTACCAGGCAACAAATGGAGATTCTTCCGTCATTTTGCCTGTAAGTATGTGGAATCGTGAGAAATTATTTTCCATTTTCAGCTCAGGTGTTACCAACAAATACAAATTACTTTCACGAAGAATTTAAGAAGCAGATTAAATTCGGAGAATATTTCTAGAATGTCGGCANCTCTGGATAACCAGTACGTGAGCCTGTGTTTTTGATCCCCTTTGTGGTCGTGAGATCCGCAAAGGGTGACGATACGTTTTCTTGTTGCTCTATCCACCACATCTGGTCAAGGTGTGAAGTGTAGACATTGCTTTGCAGGTGAACGCACCATCGACAATTATCCTACCACAGCCGTATTTATTTGTAGTGTGTGTAAATTAGCGAGACTATTATAATCATTTGTAATTATGAGTCATAACTGTTCCGCAAATCAAGTAATGAATCCAAACCCAGTGTCTAGTCCCTAGAGTAGAATGTAATATATGAGGGGTAGGCCTTCTCGGCCCTTGCACCGCGACCTTAGGTCTTTTGTTGAAATTAAGAAACAAAACTTTCAATGAATCGTCTGGACTCTTTGAAGTATGCTTGTATAGTGGAAATATAATCTTGGAAAAAATATCCTTTGATATAAATTCAATTTTATTTCCAAACGGTCTCCGACCAATTGCACCATATAGTAAGTAAACTTAAAAATAGGGTACGGTATAATGTTCATTTCTATTGAAGTTTCCCTCAACATGAACATCCCTTTCGGTCCAAATAATTTGAGATATTGAACCTTTCTCACTTTGTGAACTGAGGATCCTAACTTCACTGATGCCTCAGCCCTACGAACAAAGTCTCCAATTCTTTCAGATAGTGGCTGAATTATCTGAAATTGGGTGTTAGTTGCACCAAAGTCATCCTCAGTCACACCTGCTCCTTCTAAAGTGGCACGCTGTTCAGTTGATAAGGCCGCTGCTCTCCCCCAACCAAATAAGTTCCTAGTGGGTCGTCCACAATCTTCTTTTCAAGAGTGTCACAATATACTGTGTACTCACCGTCTGGATTTAGGTACGGACATTGTGTTCCGAACCTGCATCCTTTCGAGAGCTTCATTCGAACACATGTTTCATACTCAACATGATGATCCTTCTCAAAGTGTCGAGCTCTCAGTCTTGTATAATCTGCTGCGTCATGAAGCATCTTAGTTGCTGCCACTCCAATCAGTTGTAGTCTTAGAGGTTCTTCCGATTCCATCTCTGATGACATTTCTGCAATATCACACTCTTGGAATCTCTCTAACTCACTTTTTAGAATGGGACGCAGATTCATTTAATCACAAATAGGTTTGATATAATTAGTGATATCTTTGATGTCGCTTCCGATGAGACAGTTCACCTCTTCATCATAGTAGCCAACTCTTTCTTCCATCACCCTATCTTCAGCTACTTTCCTTTGAGCTTCTTCGATTAAAGGCTTTGCATAGCGATTCAATACGAATTACTCTTCCATCAGCTTGTTATAGAGTAACGGATAGACTAAGTGACTCCTATATTTAATGAGTCTTGTCCTGTGTTCCAAGTGAATCAGTCTTAAATAAGCGAAGGAGTATCTAATTGCTTCTGAATTTCTTAGAGCTTCAACAGTTCTTTTATCAGCTCTGGACAGTTGTCCCTCGACAATTTTCTTATACACGACAAATCTGTCGATTTCTTGGTCAACTGTTTCTTCATCATATGTATTAGCATTCAGATAAATTGGATCTCCATTCGCCATTGTCATTCCGGGGACTTTAAGTTCACCATTTCTTTCACCTCTCCAGAGGCAAAGGCGACCGACATTTCTACAATAATAAACTCCGCATTGAGAACAAGTTTGCAGAGTAGGGACTTCACAAGGTTCAGGATCAGGATATTCATCAATTCTCTCATTATATGATATAGTCATTTATTTAATGGGAGTTAAGGTCTTTTTTAAAAATCCAAATCCTTCTTGCTCTAGGAATTTTTCTCCTAGATTAGTCCTCTCACTCTTTATGTCTGTTTTAAGTACATAAAACATCTTATAGCAGGAAATTTTCTTGAGGAAAGACCTGACATCTTGCCTTGTCTCCCTGTTGTCCTGCCGCAAGGTTCTCTTCGATTTTCTGTCACCTTTGAGAGGATTGTTCTTATTAAAACTAAAATTCTGGACTGTATCCATCGTCCCAGTCAGTTGAACCACGACGTTTCGGAAGCTGGATCTGCTACCGTCCTCAGGTAAGTAAAATGGAGGTAAAAAAGGGAAAAAATGGGAAAAAAATTAAAAGGTAAGGAGGGTTCTTATGTATCCTATACAGTTGGGTCCCTTAGATCAAGCTAATCTCAATCACTGGACAAACTGGCAGGGGACGAAATCAAGGGTGATCAATTCATAGTGGGAAGTTGTCAATGGGAGATAAAAAGACGAATCAAGATAAAAAATTATTGAAAGACCCAAATCGTCTGGGACAAGGAGCAAAGAAAGAATTGAAATATTCTACAGGAATATAGAGTGAAGGAGAAAAGGAAAAAAAGGAAAAAAGGGGGGGGAAACCTTAGGGAGTTCTAATCACCCCTCTTCTTGCTGTTATGAGTGCCATTCATTTCCTCAAACACCAGGGGTGACCAAATGATGGAGAAATCCAAGCTGGGTTGGCTAATCGTGTTGCCAGCCCAAGCCATATATGCTGCCTCCTTGTATTTCCTGACGGTAGCGTTCCTCTCGAGGTCCAGGATCCCCGTTCCATCCCACTTCACAGAATGGTCCTCCTCGTAGGCGTGTTGGGCCAATCTTGACTTGTCCAGAAGGCCCTCCTTGAACGTGTGCTTGTGCTCACGAAGTCTCACTGCCAGCGGTCTTCCAGTCTCCCCGATGTAATATCTGCCACACTCACAAGGGATACTATAAATACAATGTGAGGTATGCTGAGGTTCTCCTTTTGGAGTGGTCTTGACAAACATACTCTTGAGAGTATGTTTTGTTTGAAAAATGGTTTTGATCTTGAACCGTTCAGCTATCCGTTTGATTTTTTCGGAAACACCCTTAACGTATGCAATGTACATAGTACCCATGTAATTCTGTTCTGGTCGAGAGCAGGATTTTGTTTTAAAGGCAGAGTCGATAAAACTCGGGGGGTACCCATTCGTAAGAAATTCCCGTCTTAAGTGGGATATTTCTTTATGCTGGTCATTATGGTCCTGGCAAATGATAATGGCTCTTTTTTGAAGACCCCAGATTAGTCCCTTCTTGATGTGGGGTGGATGGTTGGACTCAAAGTTCAGATACCGTCCCGTATGGGTAGGCTTTCTGTAAACCTTGGTGGAAAAGGTGGCGTCTGTTTTTGTCACCAAAACATCCAGGAACGGAATAGTGTTGTTGACTTCAGTTTCCATAGTAAACTGGATGGTTGGTCTAATACTGTTGAGGTGAATGAGAAAATTCTGAAGTGTATTGGGACCGTGGGGCCAGATCACGAACGTGTCGTCAACATATCGGAACCAGCAGGAAGGCTTAAATAAGGCTGAGTCCAAAGCTAGTTTCTCAAAATGGACCATATACAGGTCACAAACAATGGGAGATAGGGAGTTGCCCATGGCCATGCCATCCTTCTGTTGGAAAAACTTATTATCAACTTGAAAGTAGGTGGTTTTAAGACATACCTCCAACAACTCCATAATCGCATCCCATTGCAGGCAAGAACGTGACGCCAATGTGTCATCTTTCTGAAGCACATCACCAATGACAACTAAGGCCTCGTCCACCGGGATGTTGGTAAACATGTTGATGACATCAAAGCTGACCAAAATATCAGTAGCCTGGGGAGTGATGGAATTCAGTAATTGCACAAAATGGTAGGAGTTCTTTATGAAGGATGTGGACTTCCCGGAAAAGGGCCTGAGTATTTTGAGAAGATACCCGGCTAAAGCATAACATGGAGAACCAATAGAACTGATGATTGGTCTCAGTGGGATATCAGGTTTGTGGATTTTTGGAAGGCCATACAGGTGAGGAGGTTTGGTGTAATAGGGGGAGAGACTTTGTTTCACCCTAGTGGGCAGAGATGTTTTGTGTTTGGATAATAGACATCGTATTCTCCTCTCAATCTTCAAAGTTGGGTCTTTTTCTATTGGTTCGTAAACCCCAGATTGTAGTAGGGTATTTAACTTGCTTTGGTAATCGACTTCATTCAGTACCACAGTGCAATTACCTTTATCTGCCTGTATGATCCTGATGTCCTTGTCTCGCTTCAGAGATTTTATAGCTGCCATCTCCTGTATGTTGATGTTGTTCCGTGGGGACCTGGTCTTCTCCAACATGGCTCTAATCCTCCATCTGAATTCCAACCCCCTCGCACGTGGAAGTTGTGGGATGACTGATTCCACTGCGCAGGCTATGTCTAAGTTTGAGTGAGGCTTACTCACTGCAAAATTCAATCCTTTTTGCAGGACTGCTTCTTCGGGGTTCGTTAATACGTGTTTGGAGAGATTCAGAACAAACTTTTTGGACTCTGTAGAAGTAGAAGTACAACTAATGTTATATTTTAGCGTCCTGTTGCACTGATTTAAGTCCATGATTTATTTATTCCGTCTTGCAGTGCATACATTCACAGTATAACACACGCAGTCACAGGAGCACGACACAACCAAAGCACAACACACAAGATAGTGAAGGAGTGATCCAACAAAGGAGAATGGGCGTGACAGACGTAGTGAGGGGCGACGTAGCGATGTGGTATCCCGAACAATTTTAATATTTTTAACGTTTGACAATGTATATGATAGATACATATTTTAGTTATTTTGATGTGTGAACATGGCATGCAATGAACTGGTTTGACGTGGACAAGTAATCACCTGAAGATGGCAATATTATGCCGAAACATGTAGTGTGTGGGAAAGAAAGGAGATAAGTGAATGTATGCACTGCAAGACGGAATAAATAAACCATGGACGTAGAAGTAGAAGCTGATTTTTGCTGACATGTGAGATAGGAAAATTTTTTAATGTGCAGTGCTTTTTGCTTCTTGAAAATCTTGGAAAATGAACTGTTAACAGCAGTAAAAATGCGGGTTTGGTCATTAATGTCCACAGACCTGGTGATGAAATCCTCAAAACGCTGGATCCGTCGCAGTTGGGCGGCCTTATTATACCAGTGGAAATGTATTCTGTCAGATAGGAGTGCCTTACTGGCTCGACGAACAATTCTGGGTGAACGTCGGCTCCTAAAAGGAGGTTTTAAGATGAGGCCTTTAGGGATAATATCTAGAGATTTGCATCTGGTTAA